GTGTGGGGGAGGAGTTTCATCTTTTACTAATCATGTTTTCTCTGTTCTTATTTTACACTTTGAGTCTTGAGTCACATTCTAGTTGGATATTCATGTAGTTTCATCTAAGTGCATATAAAAACCAAAAATTGAAAAATCTGAAAATTTTTCACAAAACAAAATGATCATGTAGTTGCATTCTCAATTTTAGGATTGAGTCTAGATTGCATGTTCATGTAGGTTGCATCTTGCAGGGAGTAATGATAGGTTTTCTAGAGAGTACATCCCTTTGAGAACTTGAACTGAATATGCTTGTGAATCTTTTTCTGTGCTTGCAAAGTCTGAAATGATCTGAATCTGAGAAGCAAGTTTGAATTGAACTCAACTCTAATTAAGTGAGAACCTTGAACTTGACTTGAAAATATCTTGTGATGCATTGTTTGAAAAAGCTTGTGGATACCGATATACATACTTGAGCTAGAACCATTGTCTTAACAACCCTTTTTCCTTAGCTCAAGTAGCTGAATCCGCATCATGGATCAGTTCCTCACCTTGAACCCATCCTTCTTTCAAGCCAATGTTTGTGTGTGAATTGAAAGGCCACCTTGGATCAAACTTAGCAGAAAGTGTTAGGTTTAGAGCGACAAGGGCAGGTTTCATTGAGTGTTGTGTTCCAACATCAAGGAACTGAGAGTTTTGGCGAGGAATAAGTGTGGGGGAAAAGACTTGTTGGTGAGTGGAAAAAGGTGAGATGAGTGGAAAAGAGAGAGTGGAAATAGCTAGGGGAATGAAAGAAAAACAAATCAGTCTCGGAGTTTTGAGTTAAAGAAAGTGAGCTCTGGTGTCTTGAAAAGAAAGAGTCTAGCCTCTAAGTAAAAGGAAACGAAAAGAAGCCAAAGAGCTCAAATTTTTTGAAAAGAAAGAAAAAAAGAGGCTAGAGGTTGCAAAAGAAAAAGAGCTGTGTAAAGTTTGAACTCCAAGACTTGAGAGTGAAAGTGAAAAGTAAGTCCCCTAGTGAGAGGAAAATAAGTGTGAAAAGTGAGGTTCTTGAGAGAGTGAGCAAGTGAGAAAGCTTTGAGTAGAGGGTGGGATGTGATGAGTCTTTGCCCTTGTATGCATAGGTTGCTTTTTACCTTTAGCATTCTGCCAAAGTTTGATCATTCATAGAGAGATCCCTTTGCTGCATTAAACCCACTTGAACACTAATGAGATCATTTTAATCTCATAGCCTCTCCCTAGCCAAGCCAGCTTGTTTAAATGTTAAACATTGCATCATGAAATTCACCTGATAAAAGCTTAATGAATGTGAAAGAGTTGAGAGAGAGAAGAACTTGTGGAGATTCCTTGCTGAGTTGATATATATTTGAGTATGGCTTTGCATTGCATAATTGAGCATGAACTTGAATTCTCATTGTGATCACTTCTCTCAAAAAGGAAATGTGAACTCCCATGCATTCAGCCTCTCTCTCATTTGTTCTTGTTTGCTTGAGGACAAGCAAAGGAAAAGTGTGGGGGAGTTGATATGTTCATAATTTGCATCATTTAGGTTGTATATTTCAATCCAAAGCATATCTTATTCCATGCATTTTAGGTCCTTAGGGTTTGTTTTCGGACTTAGGAGATGCATTAGGTCCCAATGAGTCTTTGCATGTTTTGAGTGTTTATCAGGTGCATTTGGAGCTATTTGGAGTTGAAGAGGTGAATCCAGGAAGAGAAATGGTGATCAAAGCTTGAAAGGAGGTTCTCGGCCATTCTCGCTGACCAGGAAGGTTTTTCTCGGCCATTCTCGCATACCAGGAAGGATTTTATCGGCCATTTTCACGTACCGCGGGTAGACTTTATCGGCCAAAATGCGTATCGGCTATTGAATCTCTCGGCCAAAATCTCCGGGTGCAGACACGTTTCCGAAATCGCCTGTCCGGGGAACCTTACTGTCCGATTCAGCTGTCGAGTGCTTCATCGAAGTTGGATATGATTGGACCACGGTTCCATAGCAAGTGGAATCATGGAATTAGGACGCGTGAGCAGAAAGTTAAGCTCGTCGGAAGGAACCCCTGTCTCGCTGCTGTTCTGGACCAAGCCGATGAGCTCTGAAGAATGCGAAGGAAGGTGCACTTCCAGGCCGATTCAGTGTCCGAGGCCTTCATGAGAATCAATTCGGAGCTATGAGCAGGAATATACGGTCTCTGGAATGGACACATGTCTAGACGCCTCTCTCTGATCGTGTAAGTGCACTGCAAAGATGAGCCCTCCAGGAAGCCTTCCACTTCCCAAGAACCGAAGCTTCCTTCACCAACATTAGAGAGATATGAGTCCTCTGTCCTCTGCAACCGGAATCACTCAATTCGGACAAGTATCTTAAAAGTTACACTCTCCGGAATGCGAAGTGGTCCAAGCTGCTCTGAATGCTGCGAGAAAGCCTTGCGACTTGGTTAACTCGCAGGCCTGAAGACGAATGCCTGGAAATTGATGCTTCGAGTTGAGAAGTGCGGGTAAGCTATCAATGGATGAGGTCTGAGGTTCCCGAGCAAGAAAATTGCTAAGTCCACAATCGTGCGACTTAGGAATGCGAGTTGGCCGCGCCTGGAACCAAGCTGCACGATCACTAGCAATCTACTCCGACTTGAGCCTGAGACCTGAGTGTAATGGAGACCAACCTGCAAGGTTTGTACATTCCCCAGAAACCGCCTTGGACCTGCGAGTTGAAGAAGAAGAAGATTAAGCCGCAGCAAGACTCGCAAAACACTCCTACTTGGGCGTGCGGCTAAGACAAAGCGATTTAAGTCTCACAAGACAAGTTCTTCATCAACTGCGACTTGGGCATGCTACCTGGGAGACACTGGACCAACCCGCAGGATTCCCATTTTATCCATTAAAGCCGGGTCAGGACCCGATTTGTTCCGGGCTGACCCGGTTCGTTTTTAGAGATAGAAATACTTTTTAGGGTTTTTTCCTAGAAGACTAAGCTTTATTCCCTTTGTCTCTTGCCTCTTTTGTGAAAAGACTCCACTAAGAAGAGAAATATCGATTATTGAGTGTTTAATCAAGAGAGCTTAAGAGATCTTTGTGTTTAAAGCTGTTTTCTTCTGAATCTATCATCTATCTCTTCATCTATACACTTCTAATCATGATTAACAACACATCTTGCAAAGGATCTAGTGTGTTGATCATGATTAGTGAGTAATCTCCATATTAAGGTCTTAGATATGTAGATCAGGGTGCTTAAGTGGTAGATTAGTGAGCTTAGGGGGTTAGATTATGCATATTCCATTCTCTACAACTTGTTCTCTATGCTAGATCCATACAAATCATATGTGGTCTAGATTATGGGCATTTCATGCATCAAAAGTGTTTGATGAAATGCCTGAACCAAGGTTTGTTAGAGGTTTAAGTGTTATTCATCATGGGAATGATTGTCTATATGCTTAAATGACAGATTAAACTGATTCTTAATGCTTGTTAACTCATGTTTCACTGATGATGATTGGGTTAGAAACTGTTTTAGCATAGGAGTTAATACCTTCATGAGAGGAATAACTTAATTAAAGATGTTTATGTTGAATGGTTTGCTTGATCATATGATTCATTAGCTCATTAGTTTATCACTGAAGGCACCCTAATCCACTATCATGTCTAAGACCTTTCTCATCATCATTCATACATTCTCATCATTTGTCATTGTTTAGTTCTTCTTTAATCGTTTCATTAGTCTTTAATCCTGTTTAAGTTTGTAGTTGTCTTTAGATAATCAAAACCACTCTTGTTTGCTTGAATTAAGAACCTGATCACATAGTTTAGTGTCTAACACCACATCTGGATTGATAAACCCCTTGTACTACAAGACAGGGGATTGATAACCTCTATAAAGAGCCTTGAAAACTCTTAGTTATCATTAACCAGAATCCACCACCTGCACCGCGTGGTAAAGCTATGATCGTTCCTAATCAGAAGAATGTTCTAGAAGATAGGAATGTGAGGGAACCTGCACCTGCAGCTGATCGTGGAAGAACTCTTGGATATTACAACAGGCCTGAGCAGTTCTATGCAAATTGATCTGCGATTCGCACCCCTGCATTTCAAAAAAACGATTTTGAGCTGAAATTTGTGTACTACACGCTTGTGGGTCAGCATCCCTTTCATGGTCACTCTCATGAACACCCTATGGATCACATCGAGAGGTTTGAGGACTTGGTCACAAGCATCAAATTCAATGGAGTGTCCAATGATTTCCTCCTCTGCAAGCTGTTCCCTTATTCTCTTGCTAGAGAAGCAGCTAACTGGTTGAAGCAGTTGGAGCCAGGATCACTCACTACTTGGGAGGAAACCAGGAACGCCTTCCTGCAAAGCTTCTTCGATGATGCTAGGTCTGAGGAATTGAGAACAAAAATCTCGAGATTCTCTCAAGGACCTACTGAGGCGTTCAAGGCTTCTTGGGTGCGATTCCAATCGTACCAGCGAGACTGCCCTCATCATGGCTTCAGCGATGTGCAGCTGTTAGGTATTTTCTTCAGGGGTATTGATTAGAGGTATCAGATGGCTCTTGATGCAGCAAGCAATAGAAACTTCAACACCAGATACCCAGACGAAGCCGTTACGTGCATCGAAAACTTGGCATCTAGCGATAGTACCAAGAATGCTGATTATGAGCGGAAGAAGCAAGTTGGGAACGTGGATGGATCGCAGATTGCTGAGGTGAAGGCTAAGCTTGACTCTAAGCATAGCCTTCTAGTGGGTAAGTAGTCTGTCAGATTCGCACAGGAAGTGGAGAGTTTCGAACCTGAGGATGAAGCTGAGGAGGAAGATGTCAACTTTGTCAGTGGATCAGGATTTCAAGGTCAGAGGTTTGGTAATCAGCAAGGTAACCGAAGCTACAGTGGAAACAATCAGAGGAGCACCTTCAACAGTAATCAGAACTTTTCTGGTTACGCGCCTAAGCCTCAATACCAGAAGCCTTATTCCAACAACAGTTTTTCCAGAAACTACAGCACTCCTTCAGCTCAACCTCAAACTCCGACAATGAGATGAAGTCTATGCTGGAACAAATTCTGGAGGGTCAGCAGAAGCTCACCGTGGACTTCAATGGAAAGATGGATGCTCTCTACCTTGATCTGAATGGGAAAATCAAGGCTTTGAACACCCATGTCAAGCAGCTCGATACGCAGGTTGCTCAAACAGCAAGGTCTGTGAAACGACAAGAAGGTTTTCTTCATGGGAAGACTGACACCAATCCAAGGCATCACTGCAGTGCCATCACGATGAGGAGTGGTAAAAATTTGAGTTCTGAGCCCAAAAAGACGCCACCTGCAGCTGAGGTCGTGGATTTGGAAGAGCCTGAAGAAGTTCATGAAATTGCATTGCCGGTGTCGAGCGACACCACAACCAGTGTCGCGCGTCACCAATCACAGAGCGACGCTGATATTGCTCCAAGTCCGAATTCTGCTGAGGAAAAGGTCTACAAACCTAAGGTTCTTTACCCAAGGAGCCCTAGGAAGTCCAAGCAAGAACTAGATGTTGCAAGGTGCAAAGCTTTGATGGAAAAGCTTGTGATTGAGATACCTTTGGTTGATGCTGTGAAAATCACTCCTGTTATCAGGCGTTATGTGAAGCGAATGGTGACCAATAATCTCAGCCATGAACAAGGAGTGATGATGATTTCTGAGCAAGTCAGTGCTGTGATTCAGAACCAAATTCCAGAGAAGCTGACTGATCCAGGAAGCTTTGTCCTGTAATTATCCATCTTCACGGAGAGATTCAAGAGATCGCTGTGTGATCTGGGTTCAAGTGTCAACCTCATGCCATATTCAGTCGCTGTCAATCTCGGCATGACCGACTTCAAGCCAACAAGGATATCGCTTATCCTGGCTGATCGATCGACAAGGATACGTGAAGGAGTGTTGGAAGATGTTCCAATCAAGATTGGAGACTGCATGATACCGACTGACTTTGTGGTTCTGGAGTATGGAGAGGAGCCTAAGCATCCTCTTATCCTAGGGAGACATTTTCTAGCTACAGCAGGTGCTATCATCGATGTCAGGAAGGGCAGGATCGCTCTGAATGTTGGAGATCTGGTGATGAACTTCGATATGGATAAGCTGATGAAGAAGCCTACAATCGATGGTCAAACCTTCTATGTGGACACACTCACGGAATTCGCAGAGAAGATCTTCCATGAGAGGCGACCCACAGACCCACTAGAGAGAGCTTTGACCACATCTGCAACCGAAGCTAAGCACTTGGACGAAATTTCAGCATCTTACTTGAAGATGTTGGATTCCAGCGAGCATGTAATGCAGTTCGCAGCGCAGATAGATCAACTTGTGCCTCCTGAAAAGGCCAGGCAATTCTCCGACTGGAGTGAGGAGAAGGTGCCCAAGATCGAGTTCAAACAGCTCCCTGCAGGACTAAGGTATGCATTTTTAGGATCTAATTCCACTTATCCAGTTATTATCAATTCTTCTTTGAATAATGCAGAGGTTACCTTACTGTTGAGCAAGCTGCGCAAGAATCGCAAAGCTTTTGGCTATTCTCTTGATGATATTTCAGGTATCTCACCAGATCTGTGCATGCATCGAATTCACCAGGAGGATGAGTCGAAGTCATCGATCGAACACCAGCGCAAGTTAAACCCTAATTTGAAATACGTGGTCAAGAAGGAGATCATGAAGCTGTTGGAAACTGGGATCATCTATCAATTTTCAGATAGTGATTGGGTCATTCCCGTGCACGTGGTTCCTAATAAAGGAGGAGTTACAGTTGTGAAGAATGACAAAGATGAGCTGATCCCAACGCGCACAGTGACTGGACATAGGATGTGTATCGATTACAGGAAGCTGAATGCAGCAACCAGGAAGGATCACTTTCCACTGCCCTTCATTGATCAGGTGTTGGAGAGACTTGCAAACCATCCCTATTACTGCTTCCTCGATGGGTACTCAGGATTTTTCCAGATTCCCATCCACCCAGATGATCAAGAGAAGACCACCTTTACATGTCCATACGGCACTTTCGCGTATCGCAGAATGTCCTTTGGACTTTGTAATGCTCCTGCGACTTTTCAGCGATGTATGATGTCCATCTGCACTGACATGATTGAGGATTTCATGAAGGTCTTTATGGATGATTTCTCAGTTTACGGATCATCTTTTAAAGACTGTCTGGACAATCTCTGCAAGGTGTTAGCTCGATGTGAAGAGAAGCACTTGGTCCTTAATTGGGAAAACTGCCACTTTATGGTCAGAGATGGGATTGTTCTTGGGCACAAAGTTTCTGAAGCTGGTATCAAAGTAGATCGTGCGAAGATTGACGTCATGATGAGTTTCCAACCACCTGATTCTGTGAAATCTGTTAGAAGCTTTCTGGGTCATGCAGGGTTTTATCGTCGCTTTATCAAGGACTTCAGCAAGATTGCACGTCCTCTTACTGCTCTGCTATGCAAGGATGTCAAGTTTGAGTTTACAGACGAATGCCTTGCCGCGTTTGAACAGATCAAACAAGCTCTGATAAGCTCCCCTATTGTGCAGCCCCCTGACTGGAATTTGCCTTTTGAGGTGATGTGTGATGCCAGTGATTTTGCTGTTGGTGCTGTTCTTGGACAGAAGAATGACAAGAAGCTTCATGCAGTCTACTATGCCAGTCGAACTCTGGATGATGCTCAAAGAAACTATGCTACTACTTAGAAGGAGCTGTTGGCTGTGGTCTTTGCTTTTGAGAAATTTCGACCCTAGCTTGTGGGATCGAAGGTTATTGTGCACACAAATCATTCTACACTCAAATACTTGATGCAGAAGAAGGATGCAAATGCAAGGTTACTGCGATGGGTTTTACTTCTTCAGGAGTTCGATATTGACGTCAGAGACAAGAAGGGTGTTGAGAATGGTGTTGCAGACCATCTCTCATGCATGGGTTGAAGAGGCCATACCCATAGATGATTTTCTGCCAGAGGAGAATGTATACTATGTGGAAACTGGGTTTCAGAGCAGATTTGACGAAGAATTGCAGGCCTTTCGAATTGGAGAAACGTTAGTGTCGAGCGACACCACCACTAGTGTCGCGCAACACCTTGCGCAGCAAAACACAGAGATTTCTAAAATTCGAAGCAGACTTCCTGAGATCAGTTCAGCTGCTGTATCAGCCACCCAACATACTTGGTATGCTGATATTGCCAATTATCTTGCTGCAGAGGCTGAGCCTGAGAACTTTAAGGGCTACGCGAAGAAGAAGTTCCTGATAGAGCTGAAGAGATATCACTGGGATGAGCCATATTTGTACAAGCACTGTTCTGATGGGATTTACAGAAGATGCATTGCAGAGTCAGAAGTTCCAGAGGTGCTGTTTCATTGTCATGGATCTGAATACATTGGACACTTTGCAACCTTCAAAACAGTGTCTAAGGTTCTTCAAGCAGGATTTTGTGGCCTACAATGTTTCGCGATGTGTATGCCTTTATCTCGCAGTGTGATGCTTCTCAGAGGAGAGGGAAGATCAGCAAGCGACATGAGATGCCACAGAATTTCATCCTTGAGGTTGAAGTATTCAATTGCTGGGGTATCGATTTCATGGGTTCTTTTCGCTTTTCTTATGGGAATAAGTACATCCTGGTTGCTGTTGATTATGTTTCTAAGTGGGTCGAAGCCATTGCCAGTCCCACCAACAATTCTTCAGTGGTTCTTAAGATGTTCAAGATCATCATCTTCCCTCGATTTGGAGTACCTCGAATTGTTATAAGTGATGGTGGTTCTCACTTTATTAACAAGGTTTTCGAAAAACTCTTGAGGAAACATGGAGTTCATCATCGAGTTGCAACTCTTTATCACCCTCAGACGAGTGGACAGGTTGAAGTCTCGAATCGACAGATTAAGGAGATCTTGGAGAAGACAGTGGGTAAAACTCGGAAGGACTGGGCTGCGAAGTTGGACGATGCACTCGGAGCATACAGGACATCTTTCAAAACGCCTCTAGGCACCACGCCTTTCCACCTGCTCTATGGAAAACCCTGTCACCTTCCAGTGGAGATCGAACACAAGGCAGCTTGGGCGATAAAGATGATGAATTTCGATATCAAGCCTGCTGCAGAAAGGAGACTGATACAGCTAAATGAGTTGGACGAAATCAGGCATCATGCCTATGAGAACTCGAAGCTGTACAAGGAGAGGACCAAGGCGTATCACGATTCGAAAATCCTCTCCAGGCAATTCCAACCGAATGACCAGGTACTTATGTATAACTCTCATTTACAATTGTTTCCTGGTAAATTGCGTTCTCGTTGGTCAGGTCCTTTTATATTCAAGGAGGTTCGACCCTATGGTGCCATCGTCCTCCTCACACCAGATGGACGATGGCAGTAGGGAGTTCACAGTGAATGGACAAAGGGTGAAAAACTATTGGGCCAAAGCTGCGATTCCAGATGGACACATTGTTCCTCTGGATGGTGCACCTCCTGCCTAAATCACCATCAAGTCAAGCTAATGACTTTAAACGAGCGATTCGTGGAAGGCAATCCACTGGTACGTCTGTATATAAGTCTTTTTGTTTCAGCTAATTTTTGTTTTTGATTTTCGTGTTTTAGGTGAAACATAGACTGGTGTCGAGCGACACCAACTTCGGTGTCGCCTGTCACTTGTCTCCGTTTCGAAAAAAAAAATTAGGAATTAGCTAAACCGGAAATCCAGAACCGGAGTGGAATCGGGAGTCGGATCGGGCACGAGGAGATTTGGTTCACGATATGCAAGTGTCGCGCGACACCACCACCGGTGTCGCTCGTCACTAACAAACAGATGCCTCCATGCAAACGACAATGCAGGAACACCGCCTCCAGCTTGCACTCCACAGACGCAGTGGCATTCAACCTTGGCGATCACGTCGAAGCTTTGGTCGGTGACTTGTGGAAACGCGCGATCATCAATGCGGTACTCGCCGGATCTCGCTACTTGGTCTAATTCCATGACTCCCAGGACCTGCAAGCGTTCACATCCTCCCATCTTCGACGTGCTATCAAATCCCCTTGTCAATGTAGCACAAAGAGGTTTATCAATCCAAATGTGGTGTTAGACACTAAGCTATATGTTCAAGTTCTTAATTCAAGCAAACAAGAATAGGTTTTGATTAATCTAGAGACAACTATAAACATAAACAGGTTTAAAGACAAATGACAATGACAAATGATGTGAATATGATATGATGGAGGCATGAGATTCTAGACATGATAGTTGGTTAGGGTGCCTTGGTGTTAAACTAGAAATGCTAATGACAATGATGAGACATGATTCAAATGATTAAGAACTCTAATCTAGGTTAATCCTCTCATGAAGGAATTAACCCCTATACTAATCCATTTTCAAACCAAATTCCCATTTGTGAAACATGAATCAATATGCATTAACAAACAGCTCTTAATGATCATTCAAGCATTTAACAAATCATTCCCATGATGAAAAATTACTTAAACCTCTAACACAACTCTTTCAGGAATTTCATCAAACACTTTTGGTGCATGAAATTCCCAGAATCTAGATCTCAAGTGATTATCAAGGATCTAGCATAGAGAACAGCTGTTTAGAGAGATGAATCAATGAATCTAGCCCTAAGCACTCCTAATCTAACACTTTAGCACCCTAACCTACACATCTAGAACCTCATTAAGGTGACTACTCACTAATCATACTAATCTCTCTTAAACCTTTGCAAGTTGAGTAGATTAGCATGATTAATGATGAGAAATGGAGATGGAGATGATAGATTCAAAAGAAAACAGCTTTAAACACCCAGATCTCTTTAAACTCTCTTGATTAAACACTCAAATAAAGATATTTCTCTTCTTAATGGAGTCTTTTCACCAAAGAGGCAAGAGACAAAGGGAATAAAACTTAGTCCCCCCCCCAAAAAACCCTAAAAAGTATTTATACTTCCTTAAAAACGAACCGGGTCAGCCCGGAACAAACCGGGTCCTGACCCGGCTTTAATGGATAAAGTGGGAGTTACTGCGGGTCGGTCCAGTATGTCCCAGGTCGCACACCTAAGTCGCAGTAGATGAAGACTTGTCTTGTGAAGCCTGAATCGCCCTGTCTTAGCCGCACGCCTAAGTAGGAGTGTTTTGCGAGTGTTGCTGCGGCTTGGTCTCCTTCCTCTCCGACTCGCAGGGCTAAGGCGGTTTCTGGGGAATGTACAAACTGTGCGGGTTGGTCTCTATTGCACCCAGGTCGCAGGCTCAAGTCGGAGTGATTTGCGAGTGATCGTGCGGCATAGTTCCAGGCGCGGCTAACTCGCATGCCTAAGTCGCACGATTGTGGACTTAGCATTTCTCTTGCTCTTGAGCTTCAGACCTCTTCCAGTGATAGTTTACCCGCACATATCAACTCGCAGCATCAGCATTCAGGCGTTCATCTTCAGGCCTGCGGGTTAACCAAGTCGCAAGACCATCTCGCAGCATCCAGAGCAGCTTAGACCACTTCGCATTCCGGAGAGTGTAACTCCTATGAGACTTGTCCGAATTGAATGATTTCGGTTGCTGAAGACAGAGGACTCATTTATCTCCAACTTTGGTGAAGGAAACTTCGGTGCTTGGGAAGTGTAAGGCTTCCTGGAGAGCACATCTTTGCAGTGCATGTACGCGACCAGAGAGAGGCGTCTAGACATGTGTCCATTCCGGAGAGTGTATCTTTCTGCTCATAGATCCGAATTGAATGCTCTTGGACGTTCTGGAAAGAAGACTCAAATGTCTCTGGTTCTCATGAAGGACCCGGAAACTAAATCGGCCTGGAAGTGCACCGTCCTTCGCATCCTTTAGGACTGATCTGTTCGGTCCGGAATACCTGCGAGACTGGGGTTCCTTCCGACAAGCTTATCTCTCTGCTCACGCGTCCGAATTCCACGATTCCACTTGCTAAGAGACCGTGATGCAATGCTCTCCAACTTCTATGCAGCACCCGCCGTCTGAATCGGACCGGAAGGCTCCCCGGACAGGCGATTTCTGAGACACGTTCATACCCGGAGATTTTGGCCGATACACTTCATTCGCGGTACATGAAAATGGCCGGTAAAGCTTCCCGCGGTACATGGAAATGGCCGGTAAAACCTTCCTGGCCAGCGAGAATGGCCGATAATCTCCCAGGACCCAATTTTTCCACTTTTTCAAGCTTTGCTCACCATTCCACCTCCTTGATTCATCTTTTCAGCTCCACATTCACCTGATAGACACTCAAAACATGCAATAGACTGATTGGGACCTAATGCATCTCCTAAGTTCTAAAACAAACCCTAAGGACCTAAAATGCATGAAATAAAACATGATTTGGAATGATTTATGCAACCTAAATGATGCAAATTATGAACATATCACACCACCACGCGCTCGCTCCGCCTCACAACCGCCATCACCTCCTGCTGCACCTGACTCACCTGCTGAGAGGATTCGGCCTCCTTGGCCTAAAAGAGAAAAGGTGTGCATCGCTTCTAGGCGAGTTTGGGACGACTCTCCCAAGAGGGTGTCTGAGAGTGTTGAATGCCTCCATAGGCCGTTTTCTGATGATTGGGATGCTTATGACACTCTTTTCTACAATGCTTGGCTGAACGTCGAGATGGTCCCTACCCGATTTCTGGACATTCTTGATATGCGGCATTTGGGTTTGGATTCTGAGCTTCTGCGTTTGTTGGCTAAGCTTGGATTGGGGACTATGGCTACCAGATCTTTTGATCTGTTCCCTGACCTTGCTCGTCAGTTCTTGGCCTCTGTTCGCATTTACTACACCAACGAACACGACTCACACGCACAGGAAGGCACTCTGATTTTCATGATCCGTGGAGTTCATTACAGTCTTCCCTTTCGTGACCTGTGTGCTATATATGGGTTTCGAAAGAACCTCCCGAGAGTTAGCCTTCCTACTCAGACGATCGATGTGCAGGCATTCTGGTCCCATTTTGGGAATGGCCGCTATGATTCAAAGACCACGTCCCAGACGGATGTGCGACACCCTGTTCTGCGATGCCTTCTCTGCATCCTAGGCAACACCATTCAGTGAAAGTCAGTTCTAGGTAAGATGCGTCTTTCCGAGCTGGCTCTTCTTTATGTTGCCATAGGTGATCTTATAGAGGCTGAGCACTTCTGGAGTTTCGCCCATGCCACTAATATCAACTTCGGAGCTGGTTTTGCGCATTACTTGGTTTCCTTGCAAGCCAAGCCCTTTTCTAGAGTAGGTACAACGTAGAGGACTGAATCTGTGGGCAGCTTATTGACCCTTATCTTCCACCACTTCGAGATCAGCACGGAGAACATCAACATCATCACGACTCGACGTGCTACTGACCTGGCTCACCTGCGCAATGCTTCTTGGATCAACCACAACCTTCAGTTGTCCTTTCGCACTGCAGCTGGTTCTTTCCGGATTCAGCTCCCTGATCGTGCACATATTGACATAGGCACAGACCGCGCTGCACTACGTTTTGAGCCTGAGAGTAGAGCCCTGATCACAGTTTCTCGCGGATCCTCTTCCAGAACTCGTGCTTCCACTTCCGAGGATGATCAGGTACCTCGCTCAGCAGGCATTTCTCCCCCTCTCCCTGATCTTACCACTGCACCAGAGATCCCCATGGAGGCTGCTGCTTTCCAGCGGTATGTTGTTCAGAGTCTTCAGAACATCTGGAGTGCCATCGCTACTCTCTCTCGCTGTGGCTGTGTTCGCACTTCTCGTCCACGCTCCCGTTCGCCCACTCACTCTGGTGATGATGCTGCTATCACCGATGAGGACTAGTTCCTTGGTCGTTATGGTTCTGTTTTCTTTTCTTTTCTTTTGTTTCTCCTTTATTTTTTATTATCTTTGTTTGAGTCTGTTGTGTCAGCTACATTTGTTGTGAAACTTTGCCGGATTTATGCACTTATGGGTTGTCTTGTTTCTTCTAACTTGTCTCTGCGTGATCTGACAGTGCTAACCTAGATGATTCCCTATCCTGTTTGATGGACTCATGTGTTTCTGATCTCGAGGATTTCTCTCTGCATTGTAGTGTCGCGCGACACCATCATTGGTATCGCTCGTCACCACCCATGCACTTTCGACCTAAGCTTGGTTTCACCTGATTCTGAGCTGTGTGTTGGTCGATATTGACTCGATAATAAGACACTCTAACCATTGAATTTGTCCTCTTTGATTCCTTTCTTTGTCACCAACTTCGGACTAGATAACAGTAGGGACATTGCTGTTCAAGTCTGGGGAAGGTAGTCGCTGACATTGTGTTTGTTTTTCTTAAGAGTCAGTTGTGTCAAAACATTTTTGAGTCAAAACCTGTTGGAGATTATGATGTTTTTCCTGGAATTATTGTGCTGACCTTTCATCTAAGTGACCACTGCTGCAGATTCAGTCTAGATCCGACTAATGAAAAATCCAAAGGCTGACCAGTTGACTAGAGGCGTCCATGTTTCCAATAGAATCCACTAACCTGAGCTAATTTCTGAACTC